CACATGGTGTGAAAATGCCATAATTTTTGCCCTAGCTCTCATATTTTCAATAAATATACATGTAAATAATTTTAGATAATTAATATTTATGCTGAAATTCACTGTGAATATTGTAAATAATGCAATACTGATATCTATGGGCATCAACAATACACAAAACATATGAATATCCCCCTCGCAGCTTGAGAAATTCATATAAATCGATGTATTTTATGAGTGTAGATATTGGAACAGATTGACTTAATATCCTCCTTCAAATTTCTGTTAATCAAATTTGATTGAATAATTTATATCAAAATGTGACTGCTGTTAACTAATTAGGTTACTTTGTTTTTACATAAGAGGCCTAATCGAACAGCAAAGCCAATTTCAGTCATGTAATCAGTGCTGGATTTAGATTAAAGTTATAATTTTGGTGAAACTCAGAGAATGCTAGAAGGAAATTTACTTTAATTTACTTGAAATTATTGTACAATACATTCTAGCAGAAAATACATTGAAAATGTCAGTAATATGCAATATTATAAGTCAAAAAGATGAAAAAAGAACAAACAACAGAGCATTAATGTAGTCATCTCAGTTCCCAAACATATTTTAACCCCTCGTAGTTGTTCAGATTTTTTTTTTTTGATTTGGCTAAAAATAAAACATATGGAGAAGTGCAGTTACTAGTTTTGTTTACTGCAATTTGATTGTACGTTGGTTTGTCAAGTATCTTGTTGAAAACCTAGTTACTCGTTATCATGTGCATGTTTCACTTTAATTAATCAACATCTAGGAAGATGATTTAATCACTTGGGATTTTAAACAAACAATTCTACCGTCTTTCAAGTATAAAGGTAAATTGAATTTATACATAGAACTTTACCATTTACAACAGAAAATTAAATATATTGTAGTTGGAAGTTGTAGATTTTACTGACAGACTACAAACTTATAAAGGGAATATATACTTTGTTCAAAAGTCTGCATGAAAGAAATGTACGTCACCATTCCCACCCACTTTTTGTGAAAACTTGAAAATAAAAAATGCTTTAATTTACGTTTATTTCTTCAAATGTTCATACAGTGTTATGGATATTGCACTTCAAATGTTCTTATGTCATTTTCCTAAAGGATAAAAGCAATGGATATACATATTATACAAATAAATTGATTTTGGGGAGTTGGGGGCCGGAGTGGTAAAAATTCACAGGTACTTGGGTCTTGGTTTATAATTATATATGTACCCTTATCGATACGTAAAAAAGGCTGCCCCCCTCCTTTTTTCCCACCAATACTTTACTACTGGAAATGTTCAGTGAAAGACTGGTTGCCCCCCCCCCCAATACTACAGGAAATTCATATAAGGGAAACGTAGTGTTGAATACTAAAAATTTGGTTCTGAAAGAAGTTGGCATTGGAGAAAGACTTTTTTTTAGAGAGAAAAAAAAACTGAAATGTCTGTATTAAAGCACAAAACTTTAAAGCTGTAATTAATTGTTTTTGAACAATAGGGCCTACCTTATTCGTATGTTTTCTTTTTATTGAACGCAATTAAGTTGATTACAAATTGTACGTCGGGTTCGTTACCACGATGCTCTTAGTACGGAAAATACAGTTTTTACCGATAAACACATAACAAACACATTTACAAAACTATTGCTTTTATTGTATTTTAATTTATATAACATCATTTGTTGTAAAACTATTTAATCAAATAACCCGTTAATTACAATATTTATAATTATTTCTTGATTAAAACAATGTAGCAAAAGGGACGTGATGTTGTAGAAGCTTCCGTCAATATTGAGATCGGCGATTGACGAAAATAATTTACACTTTTCTCTTTTTAATTGGTTATCACAACTTATTTCTTTTATATCAATTAAATCAAGTTTTGATTGAATAATTCAGTGATGACATTTTATGAAGTAAATAATAGATTGTTTGTTGTCAGTTTCATTAAAATTTGTCAGTAGCTTAGATCCGCCAACCGGAAACGCCACAATACTCACGTTGATGCTATTTCATGGCTGTTCTCAGAAAATTGAAGTAGACTTTTAATTTTATGTACGATACTTACTATCCCAGTGAAATCTAAATATAGTTTACGGACATCATCTTGTGTGTAGTGTAGTATTGGAGGGGTAAGTAAGAACTCTTGTGCACCCGTTTCAGAGTTTATTTGCAAAATTTATTAATTTATAAGTATAGATAATACATTTTTATAGGTATAGCACTGATGCACTTTGCGTAATCAATTATATCCTAGACCCTCGCCAGACTTTATGCATGAAGGGACATATAATGTAGACAAATTATTTGTTTTCACACTTCCATGTAACAGTTAAATGGTATTTGCAAATATTTAAAAATGCATTGCTCAAGAATGATGTTGGCAGTCTGTAAGTAAAACATAACATCGTATCGAATCATTTGATTGATGTATATAAATTGTTTTAAATTTTCGAGGAACTCTTTAAAGTATTTTACTAATCTGAACTTCCTTTTTTGTAATTCTGTAAATTAATCAAGAAAACTAACAAAAACTCAAGGAAAGTTTTCCTTCAAAAATGATAAGTAGTTCGACTGAATCGACAAGGATTTCATCTACTTTTCAAAGCATGCGTTTTTACTTTTATAAATATGTAAGACCATACCATTTGTGTAAGGAAATTCAGTGATTTCCAAAAAGTGTGTCCTTTGTTATTATATTGAATAATAGTGATTAATTCGCGAAAATAACGCCAAACGTTAGTGCTTCGCGTAATCTCTGCGACGAAGTAAAATCTCAAACTATGGAGAAACCCGCGGCAGGCATTGATTATATATAATTATTTGAACCTTTAAGGAATTACTATTTTTCTCTTATTCGAATCTGTTTATGCTTTATAATCTGCGAAGATCACATGGCGTCTCCATATAAGTATTACAGCCATGTCTTAATTTTTTCAAATAGATTTGTAGATTTCGTATCTCGATGTTTTCTATGAATTTATCAAAAATACAAACGTAGTAACGGAAGTAAGGTGAAGAAAAGACTTTATATACACCATGCAGCAATGTTGTTTTTTAACATGTGGTACATGTAGGATCAAGCTACTGTTTGAATTTAAAGGTACATTTATTAAATTTGTAATGTTCCATGGAAATGAGAGGATTGCATAGACACAATTGATTCAGCTGGTTGACAATGGGGTGTGTCTCCTGCCAAACCAAACCAGGTTATACATAAATAATATGTGTTCCGTTTTTCTTGCTCATCATAACTATATACTTAGTTAGTTCATTCAATACCCAGAAGCAGAGAAAAAAAATATTGCATTTCACTATATAATTAATAGAACTCCACCCTATCACTAGAACCCCTGACCCTGGGGCCCTAAAATGCACACAATTTACGTGAGGCACTCTTGCTGATCATAACTATGTACTTAGTTTATTTAATACCCAGAATCAGAGAAGAAGATTTTCAAAGAATTGATGCATATATTTTCACTAAATAATCAATAGAGCTTTACCCTAACACCAGAACCCCTACACTGAGGCAATAAAATTCACAATTTTGGCAGAGGCACTCTTGCTCATAATAACTATGTACTTAGTTAGTTGATTTAATACCCAGAGGCAGAAAAGAAGATTTTCAAAGAATTAATTCTTTTTCATAACATAATCAATAGAGCTTTACCCTAACACCGGAACCCCTTATCATGATGTCATAAAAATCACAATTTTGGTAGCGGCACTCTTGGTCATCATAACTATGAACTTTGTTAGTTTATTTTATACCCAGAAGAAGAGAAGGAGATTTTTCAAAGAATAAATGCATAGATAAAAAAAGAGGAAAACTAGCAAAGCACATTATTTTTTCAATATCTATAAACACACAATGAGATAATGTATTACTGCAACGCATAAATCATTAGTGTGCAAATATATCAACTTAAACACAGACTCAGTTGACTAGCCGGAAATTATAAATAACCTAGAAGTTTCTCCCCATACCGACACCCGTTGATTACGAATTATTATGTTACATTATCCAAGACGTCTGCTGTTCTATTATTGCAAATAAAACGCACTTCTTTTTCTATCGGCTACTTCGTGCAATGTTTTCATTTTTTATGATTAGGGTGTCGCTCTCAGCATACTGCATACTTTTCCCTTAGCACAACCTTTATCTCTTAAGCGTTTGTAAGACTCTTTTACAAGCGTTGCTAGGGAAATCGGCAGTACACAAACTAGATAAAAACGCATGTTAGAGTATTTTTTCTCTATATACGTCACAAGTCACGGTATGGAAAACCCTTCATACAGATCTTGCCAATTACATTTTATTTATTATGTTTTTAGTCTAAGCATCTGAATATATTTTAAGAACTTTTTAACAAGATTAAAACATACCCGGTTTAAGTTATTTACAAATTAATGTAAATGAAAAGAGCAATAGATATTTTGAATCAGGCTTCTTTCCGAGGGTCAGTCGGCTTAGGGCAAACAACTATATATTTTCATTATTTTGTAAGTATTTAGAAGTATAAGAAAAAAATCTATCAAAGTGTGGTGCGACAGAGCTTATACAGCAACTTACACGTACAATATATGTTTGAAAGAATGATACCGAATATGTTCAAGGTGTCCTCAGATATAAAACGTACTTACCACTTATTTTCAGCAATAAATACTTAAGGTGTTAAGAATTTTGACGGGAATCTCCATATTTATACATAATCTAATTTTGCTCATGTACTAAACGAATTTATGCATTACTTTGTTTTCATATTGATAAATAACAGCATAAAAACGCATTGCGATAAAGACGTTTCCTTAACTGTATATCTTAAAATTATATTCGAAATTGAATATCATTAATAAATTGTATTTGTAGTTTCAAGAAATATTGGTTTTTTTTTTCAAACCTAAAAGTTTTTCTCAAAACAGATCAGGAAAAAATTTGGACCATTGATAAAAGTTTCATACAAAGTATTGAGATTGTACATGTGAAACTAAAAACTTACATTTGTATACCAGCTTTCTGATGTTTTGACGAATCATCTTTGGATTGACATGACATAACATATGTACATCAAGTCTCTCGACATACGTATTCTCAATACGCTTTGGTAAATGTAAGCATCTTTTCTCTTTAACATCTTCATATCCCCATTCGCATATATACTCTAATAACGAGTCCACTGAAGACAATTTAATGTAGGTTATGTAATCTTCATCTGTGACAAGGCAAGTCCTGGCAAAGTAACTCATAACATGATGACGGACATCATCCATTGCAAATTGCACAGTATTGAGTGCATTGTTCCTCGTTAACACTTTATCATTTTCTACCAATTCCTTAATAAGTAAATCGTCCTCCACTGTCGCATTGCTGTGGAATACTCTAAATGCCTGTACAGTTTTCTTAATCTTGTCTTTCACTTTTTCGTCCAAGCAAATTGTGTAATTTTCGGACAGCATGATGGTGCAAAGTATGCTCATTTTAGACGATGAAAGTGGTAATATAAAAAATTCTGAAATGTAATATTTATAACCTTAAAAAATGTAATAGTGAAACATATGTTCAAAATATTATAACAATTATATGATCCTAGCATTTCATCATTCGTCGATGCACCAAAATTTTTATTTCGAGCTGAATAAGCGTAATTGTCCCTAAACGTTGTAAAACGACACATGTTTTCTTCAATGACGCAAAATTGATTAAGAACAAAATTCTAAGTACGCAATAAGAAATCTTAATCGCTTTTATAAATTGAACATGAGGTCTGGATTTGGTCCCTTATTTGATATAAAAGTCATAACACTATAACAGAAACAAAGCGATTAAGCTTGCTTATATATTTTCTTTTTTTTTTTCATTTTTCCAAAATTCATCTGATACTAGTTAACATACTTAAATATATATACGTATACATTTTGAAATCACTAATTTTGGTGGGGGGGGGGTTAATTTTCGTTGTTTTCGAGGTATGAAGATACCCACGAATTCATACCCACAACAAAATGTAAATTTTTATATGCACAACTACTAAAATGTTCTCTAAATCAAATCCCCATGAACCAACATTTTTTTTTCTCGAACCACGAAAATTTGACCCTACTAAAATATGATTTTACAGTATTTGGGGAAAAGGAAAGTTTTTGCTCAGTGTATTTATAGAATAACATGTTCCTTAAAACTTTTCATAATTTATATGTCAAAAGAAAATTTGAAGGATGGCATAGTTTGAGATCATTTTGTGACCTTTGTGCGTCTAATCATCTAAAATCATTTATTTTTTTCCAAAAACTTGAAAGGTCTATCTTACTCTTCCTAATATATTTTACAAGATTCTTCTAAAAGGCAAACCTTAAAATAACTAGGGCTAATTGTAAGGGGGACCGTTACAGATGTTCCCCAAACGCTCCCCAACTTCCACTTGGTGCAATATTCCCTTAAGCTCTGTTAAATAAGACATACTTTGTGCAATTTAGACTTAAACAACGTTTTCCCAGAAGACCACAAAATATATTTAAATTTTAGAATTACATGCGAGCTCATGTGAATGCATGTGGGTAATGCTTATATCATCTTTTCTACACTATGCATATATATCTAAATAGACTTAATATCAAAGCATTAATCCAAAAGTAATAAAAAATACACTCATTCAAGCGTATTTTTAATTTTACTCATTTCACGTGCACGCACGTGCAAGCATGTGTATGATAACCATATCTTCTTTCAGGGGTCTATTATGTCTATCAATCTTCTAAATACCATCCTGTTTGGTTGAATACCAAGGCAGTTATAACCATTTAAAGTTTTAGCCAATCAGATTTCAGCGCACGTGCATGTGCGTTATTAAATGACAGTTGTTATATATCATATTGTAGGACATCCTATTGTATGCTTATGTTTTAAATTTCGTAGCATTTAGTAAAAAAACAGAAAAGATATTGAGGTTTTTGTTTCAGCCAATCAGAGTGAAGAACACGTGCACGCACGTGCATGACGACCACACCTTCTTGTTGGAGTCTATTATGTCTGTCTTTGTTCTAAACCCCATTCTGTTTGGTTGAAAACCAAGGTAGTTATAGCTGTTTAAAGTTTAAACCAATCAGATTGCAGCGCACGTACACGCACGTGTATGCATGTGCATGGTGACCATATCTTCTTGTACAAGTCTATTATATATATATATATATATATATATATATATATATATATATATATATATATATATATATATATATATATATATATATATATATATATATATATATATATGCTCCAAATCCCATCCTGTTTGGTTGAAAACCAAGAGAGTTATAGCTATTTAAAATTTCAGCCAATCAGATTGCAGTGCACATGCATGCACGTGTTTTCATGATAATTGCTATATATCATATTGTTGGATATCCTAATGCATGGCTATGGGAAAGATTTTGAGACTTTAGTTTCAGCCAATCAGAGCAAAGCGCACGTGCATGCACGTGAGATCTTGCTATTTTGACCATATCATCTTGTCTACGCTACTGATATATCCTTACATTATAATTTTCAAATGATTTCATCAAAAATAGAAAAGTTACGGCTACATGTATATCCATTATATTGGTCATTTCACATGTTGTACGTGCGCCCCTTTGCAAGCACGTGCGCGCAAAATGGCATGTTGACAATGTCATCATATCTATATTTGTAATATGTCTATATATTCCAAATATCAAATCTATACATTGAAAAATGTAAAAGTAACGGCTATTTCAAGTATATTGGTCATATCACGTGTTGCCCATGCGCGCTCTTGCAAGCACGTGCGCGCAAAATGACCTTCGTTCCGCAAATCTACATACATTGCCTACTTACCCTAAAAAGGTTTACTCTTTATTGGATGTGTACTTTACAAGATCATTCGCGGACAAAATTTTCCCAAGAAGAAAAATAATAATTAGTGGTAATTGTAACGGGAACCGTTACAGATGTTCCCCAAACGCTCCCCAACTCCCTTTTTGTGCCATATTCCTGGTATGCTTCATTAAATAAGACAAACTCTATGCATTTTAGACTTAAACAATGTTTTCCCAGAAGTATACTTACTATATTCAAATTTTAGTATTCCACGCCTGTGCATGTGAATGCATGTGCGTAATGATCATATCATCTTGTCTACACTATCTATATATTTGAATATACTAAATATTAAAGCATTTAATCCAAAATTATTGAAAAATACGCTATTCAAGTGGATTAATAATTTTAGTCGTTTCACGTGCGCGCACGTGCATGCATGTGCATGGTGACCATACCACCTTGTAGGAGTCCTTTATGTCTATCTATGTTCTAAATCCCATGCTGTTTGGTTGAAAAACAAAGTGAGTTATAGTCATTTAAAGTATCATCCAATCAGATTGCTGCGCACGTGCACGCGAGTGATTTCATGAAAAAAAAAACATATTTTAGTATATCATAATGCATGTCTATGTTATAAATTTCAAAGCATTTCAACATAAAACAAAAAAGATATTAAGATTTCTGTTTCAGCCAATCAGAGCAAAGCGCAAGTGCATGCGCGTGAGTTCATGCAAATTTGACCATGCCGTCTTATCTACACAACTTATATGTCTTTATATAATAAGTTTCAAAACATTTCATAAAAAATATAAAAGTTACAACCATATTAAATATATCAGTCATTTTACTCATTCGTATGCGTGCAAAATGACCTTCGTTCCGCACATCTACACAACATGCCTACTTGCCCTAAAAAAGTTTTAACTCCATTGGGTGAACAGTTTCCTAGAACACTCGCGGACAAAAAAGTACCGAAGAAGAAATAAGAAGAAAAAAAGAATAATAACTAGAGCAAAGCTCGTTGCAAAGCAACGAGTAGGTCTTCCGTCCGGTTTTGACCGGAAGTGCCGGAAGTGACATAAAAAAAAGAAAGCAATTAATTAAGTCGTCTCCAGTGACTTTATTATTTCAATTTTGCATCAAAACCTTCAAAATAAGCTATTTTTGGCTACTTCCGGTTTGCCCGGAAGTGACGACGACGGACGGAAAATAAATTTTTATGTCCCAGAGACATATGTTATCCAAAAACTTGTGAAGAACGGCAAAAATACGCGTTTTTCGACTACTTCCGGTTTGGCCGGAAGTGACGACGTCTACGTATTTTGACGACTGCAGTAGATAAAGCTTGACATTTTGAACAACTTTGCTTCTATGACGTAATACAAATTCTCAATACTTTTTAAGATATAAAGGAAAAACTTTCGGCCTCTGTAGGCCCTTCATTTTAGGGGCCAGCCCTTTTTTGCAGATATTAGATGAAAGATCTTGTGATTCTACACTTCTTTTGTTCTACATGTCTAAACAAATATTTCAAGGTAAAAAGTTATCGTATAAAAGGTGTTAAAAATTTTGAAATTCTTGATAAGACTATTTTGGGGCTATAGTGAACGCGGCGCTACCTACTTCCGGTGAAAATTATATATTCATTGCACTTCTCCGAAGGTTGAACTATCATCACTGAAAATTTTATACTTCTATCTTCAACGGTTTTTGAAAACATTGCCGGACAATGTGACTCTCTAAAAATGACAAAATCGATAAAGATTTACGAACCGGAAGAGACGTCATCAAAATAAAAAAAAGTGTTTCTAGATTTTTTGATGTTCTATCAGACCTGAAAGTTTCATGAAAATTCATCGAGCCGTTTCCGAGAACTCGCGTGCACAAAATCTGTAAGAAAAAAATAATAATAATAGGAAAAATAGTGGAAAAGAAACCTAAGAATAACAGTAAGGTCTTCCGCTGAAGACGGAAGACCTTAACTAGAGCAAGGCTCGTTGCAAAGCAAGAGTAGGTCTTCCGTCCTGTTTGACCGGAAGTAACCGGGAGAAACTTTCATTTTGTACAAAAATGAGTAATAACGCCCACAAATGCATTAATCACCTTAATTCATGTTAATTAATGTAAAAATAAGCCATTTTTGCTACTTCCGGTTTGACAGGAAGTGACAACGACGGACGGAAAATTAATTTTTATGCGCCCAGAGACACATGTTACCCAAAACGGGTTAAGAACGGCAAAAATACGCGTTTTTCGACTACTTCCGGTATGGCCGGAAGTGACGACGACGGACGAATTTTGATGACTGCAATAGATTGAGCTTGACATTTTGAACAACTTTGCTTCTTTGACGTATTACAAATTCTCAATACTTAATGAAATATTTAAAAAAAACTTTCGGCCCTCTAGGCCCTTAATTTTAGGGGCCAGCCCTTTTTAAAAGACATCGTTTGAAAGATCGCGGAATTCTAGACTTCTTTTGTTCTATATGTTTAAACAAAATATTTCCAGGTAAAAAAATATCGTAGAAAAGGTGTTAAAAATTTTGAATTTTGCGATACGACTATTTTCGGGCCGTAGCGAGCCCCGACGTGCGGCACTTCCGATAAAAATGAAATACATTCCGCAAATCCACAGACTTAGGTCTACCATACTTAAAAGTATCATGTGTCT